TTTTTGTTACTGTTGCCATTTTGGTATTTGAACCATCACACTTGTACTATACCAATTACGGTAATATTACGTTGCGTGTGACAGTGTGTGTTTGGTAATTTGCTAGCACGAACGAATTTAATTCAACGATTAAGCGGAAGTCATCTGACAAACCATATACAATGTGTGCTCCTGTTGGTCTTTTATCGGCTTGTCGCCTTTGCAACCAATATATATATATACTGATTAATTTTACACATCCTACTACAGTAATATAAATTGTACTAGTTTTGCATATTATATTAATATTGTCGCTTTTGTTCTCAATCACTCATTCATGTACAATCGCCAGACAATATATTAAATATATTTGCAAATCATAGTCTGATCGAATTAGGTAACATGTGTCTGAAATATATTATTGTTCCCTTCGTGGGTAATCAGACGATAATTCTGGATATTTTACGAATGCGAGTGTGTACGCGATATAACGACGAAGTAGATACTCTAACACAGATGCCGGAATGTTTTTCTTAAAAAATCTTCGTTTTTTCTCAAGACCGGAGTGTGTTCTACTGTTTGTAGCAACGATATTGGTGGCTTTACTCTACGGGACTTCGCTCATCAGACACGGTAAATGTCGTTCAATAACATTTTCTTTACATTTCAAGCATAGCCTGGACGCGTATAATCAGTCTCTGCCACGGGCGAATTTGAATATTCCAATGTTCTTAGTAAATAAATAAACTCTGCTTGGAGCGATAAATATGATATATAGTAGATAATATTTGGTAATCGTTGTAATAAGTAATTATTCAAAATAGCTAGACGTTTCGATCGAGCAATGGCTATTTAACGATATCTTGCTATCTTCCTTGTAATCTTGGAAACTTATTTTTTTGGATTTGCGTGCAATTTGTAAGTCAATTTGAAAGCATATTGTTAAACTGTCTGCAACGGTTGGTTAATGACCTTTAATTAGTAACCGCCAATTAGAACCATCTGATAGTTTACATTCAAACTCTGTCACTCATATATTCAATTCAATTTATATATATATTCAATTTTTGTTATTACATCTTATTAGCGCGGTACCTGTAAATTATATGTATATTTCTTTTCAAATACAAGACAGTGTGAAAACACACAGCCAACATGTGTTGCATATTAATGATTCCAATTTCAGCCTACTAAGTCGTTATGCGATTACAATTTTAATACAAAATGTGTCGAAGACTGAATCTGACAGTTTATTGAAACTGGTTTATAGCAAGCTGTGTCAGACGAGGCCTCGAATTGTGATGAACACGAGAATATTAGTATTAAATACACTGTACATTTTGCGTGGCTCACAATAATTATCGACCAAACCGTTTTTTCTCCTTCAACCTAGATGGAAGTACTGTAGGAAAAAGGTATGCACTGGTAAGAAAATGTTTTTCTTCATACATGTGCAAATGTGTTTTGGGGTGATCTGAAGACCAATTCAATTTTTGGTTCAAATTATGTGCATATTAATTAACTATAGC